TGATCCAATATATGTACTAAAGAGCACGACTTAACATGGCTCATTAAGCCTCTTCATCTTGGAACAACCTATAATAGATCTATTGAAAGTATATTCACAAATTAATGACAATCATAATTAATTTCACCAGTTTGATATTATAGTTATTATTTATGGTAAAGTATCACTTTATTATTATTATCTACTTAAGGTAAGTATCATTTTCAAGATAGTATTCAATATCACAACATAAGTTCATGGTCCATGTTAATCCTATAAATACAACTAGTATTTTCTAAGAAATACTCTATCACTCTAATAATCACACTCTAATAATCACACTCAATCTGGTACACATTCTCCAATATTCACTTTTATAGATTTAAACTCTCTTATTAACAAGTATCGGAATATCTTTTACAAATTGATTTTTTCGCATTTCAACCCTTAAAAACACGTTAGAAACTTAAAGCTATTCAGATCACATCATCTCTCAAAAAAATCCCATTAACCCTCTTAAAAACAAAAATCAATAAAATTTAATTTTCAGCAGGAAAATCAAAACAAAAGCACACGTTGCCTTCGATATTTAAGACTTCTGGAAGCCGATTTTCTATCTTCAACAAGTTTCTTTTCCTAACAAATATTGGTCTATTAAGGGATTTTATTTTGAATTAACGAAGGAAAAATTCATCTGGTGAAAATATTAATATTAGAGTTATGCTAATCATTTTCTAAGATTAGAAAATTTAATATCCAAATCATAGCATGAAAAGGTTCAATTAATTAAAAAAAAATCATAAAACCATAAAATATGCATTTGGACAAAATGACTCACGGCTGATTTTAGGGACAAGGAATTGAAAAGTGATGCGACTGATGCACGCTACGTTGCCTTGTTGGATATATTTCTTGTCCACCTACGTCATCAACAAACTTTTAAATGTAAAACTGTAATTCCCAAACTAACCCTGCTATGGAATCTATTCTCCTCTCTCTCCTCTTCTCTTCTTCATATATTCCAAACCGATTCAGCCTCTCACAGCAAACCTCGATTTTGGCATTCCCTCTGTTTGTGTATCAGTAAAACGTTGTCGTTTAGAGTTTCAATGGCGAGAATCCTTGGAGGAAAGTATAAAATCGGTGAAAAAATTGGGAGCGGATCATTTGGTGAAATTTACATTGGTAGGAAACTTTTTGCTATTACTTTTTCTTTGTTAAATAGTTTTTTTAATGATACATGATAGTTTTTTTATTTCATTTTACTATTTTTTTATACTTTTAATTTGGTCCTAGTTTTTTTAAAAACGAAATAACATGATTCTTAAGGTTAAATTTATGGTAATAGTTGAATGTTATATGACATTTGTTGATCATGTTACTTTGGCTTACAGTTTAACTTTAATTGATATTATTTATGTCACATGTTACCATTTTCGTGATTACAATCAATTTAGGGAAGATACTATACTTATGTTAAAAAAATAGATTAAATTAAAAAAATCAAATAATGGATTGAAACTAAAAAGTTACTCGTAATATTGAGATAATAAAGAACTTATTTAACCCTTTATTTCTTAAAGAATTTAGTTAATAAAATACTTTCTGACATAAAATATTTACAGAATTAAAATAAAATAAAATTTATTTTTAAAGAACTAATTCAGTAAATAATATTTTAGAAAATATATCCCTTAACTTATATAGTTTTGGTTTATTATTATTATTATTATTATTATTATTATTATTATTATAAATTATCTTTTTAACTTGTGTATGTTTTATTCCCAGGATCACATATAGATACTTCTGAAATCGTAGCCATCAAAATGGTGAGTCTTATTTCCTTTGTCTCGTCGTCGCAAATTTATTGACTTCCATTTCCGGCATAATTTGTTTTTAATTTCTTATTTATTATTCGTAAGGGTTGGTGCTAAGAACCGACATAAAACATGCCCAAAGGCACAATTAGTATTTAAATCAATTAAAGTAAATTTTTTATTTAGACTTTGTTTACTTGAATGTATTTGGGAGAGGCTGATTGAGAGGATTTAAGAGGATTTGAATGTAAATTTTGTTATTGTTTATTTGAGTAGATTTGGAAATAAGTGAGAGTGAATTTAGAAATAAAGTTTATAAGAATTAGTGTAAGATTTGATTTATGTGATAGATTAAAAAAATTTACTTCAGAATCCACTCTCACTTATCTCTAAATCTACTCAAATAAACAACAACAAAATTTACTTTAAAACCCCTCAAACTCTTCCAAATTCATTCAAACGAACAAAGCCTTAAGGATTTAGGATTAAACTCTGAACCAAAATTTTATTAAAAAGTATTTAGTAAAATAACTTTTCCTTCTCGTAAAACAGAAGTGTTTTATTTCAATTTCTAATATTAATCCATTTCCTTTAAGACAAATGAAAATGTAACCCCTTTCTTGCTTCCTTGTGTTGAACACCATAAGGGTATTTATGTTAACCCAATCATTTGTTTAAGAAATGGCTAAATTAGTCAATTTTAGCATTAATATAATTTATCAATTTTTTTCATTTAATGTAAAGATTCGGCATACTTTGATTTTTCTTCAAGTTAAGGTGATTCATGACCATTAGTGTTATTAGTTTCTAATTGTAGATATTCCTTTTTGCAAAATGATTAGATTTTTCAGTAATTATTGTTATTTTTTTTAGTATGGTAAATACTTGACTTTTCTCAAAAAAAAAAAAA